TATTGCACGGAGACAGGCGCCAGGCAGGTTGTCCCGTCATTCAAAAACATGCTGGGCCAAAACAAGATCCAAGAAGTGTAACTTCCAACCACTACAGCTGGACCTTTCGTGCACGAGCACAACGAAATGTCTTGAGGTCAAACTATTTCATCGGTGCTCTGCGTAAACTAGGAATGATTGAAGCGTGAATGAACACCATGCTTTTGGGGCCCCTTACCATTTTCCCATAGTATCCTCACCAGTCCCAGACAAATTTGTACGTGACAACAAGCCCTACCGGACTGCCAGATGCATGTGTGAACGAATGATCCGTGTGTGGCGCAGATTTTCAGCACCTATGCCCATCTACCTAAGTCAGCCACCAACTCAGCCAACTGCATCTATGCACGGCTGCACCAACGCCCAACTCAGCCACCACCCCTTCCGTGTCAAACGTTAATGTTCGCTCGTCTCTGCATACATGTCTTTGCACCCACCCACCCCAAGAGGAGCACATTCACACAGGTGAAAACGGGGTACTTTGGGCAAAAGACAGCAAAATTTACAGGCGTACATATACAATCATATACATTGCATGCAAAACCAGGTTTTGAAAGTTGATTTCAGAAGGTGACGGTGTGATACAAAGAAACTGTTTCCTCAGCATGCACCCTGAAAGTATCAACATAACTCTACCTTCTCTCAACAGGCGTTGCATCAAGGTTTTCCGAATGCCAATTAATGTGTAACGTGTTTGCGCTGTGGTGAGGTCTGTTTTGGTTTGCTGCGTGTTGCGGCTGCGAAGGTGTCAGTCAGAGGCTTGCCCTGTTTCGGGTTTTGTGTCGCAACACGGTTTGGACGGAGGATGCCTTTTGGATCCTTTTGGGGGCATCTGATGGTCGCAAATTGTTTTCAAGCATAGAAATGCGGCAAGCAATGGTCCACATTATACTGCCACCGACTGGGAATCACAGGTTCTGGTTTCCAACCGAGGGGAAAAGGAAACTTAGCTGCTAAATTCAAGACAAATAAAGCAAATGAGAACAAAAATATTGGGCATTCAAGACTTGTAAAGGATTTTGCTAGGCTGTTACCAATGATGAAACAGGAGCCAAAAAAGTAGAAATACACACTGAAGAATTGTTGCAATCGAACGTAAAGGTTGAACAGGCGATGACTTGAAGGTGCGCAGAATGGCGTCGTCCATATAAACACTTGTTCCCTCTTGCACCGCCAAGCGTTGGACTGTGTACAGACTGGAAAACATCTTGCTGGTGACTGGATATGTTTAACGCCGCAAACATCACAATATCAGAGTTCTTGCAATAAAAAAAGAAAAGTTCCACTGACGACGTCTGACGTCTGACGTCGATAAGGGGAGAGCATCATAAAGAGGGCACCTGACTTCCATCTTTACTCAGCAAACTTATGCTCAAGAGTTGAAGTCACGCAAACACTAGATGTGTTCACAAAGGCGATTGCGAGAATGACTCCTGGGGAAACATGTTCGAAGTACAGAACCCAACATTGATCGCAAACACAGTGGCACCACTTCCATGAAGCGCATTTGGGAATGTCTCGATTGTCAGCGAGGTTTTCAGAAGCAAACGCGGGCAAACGCTACAACCTGTTGACCACCTTCTTGCATCAGCAAGACAAAAGGCCGCAAGTGGCATCATCCGCTGCATTGCCCTTGCCTACAGGAACACAACACGGTAGCTGAGGCACTAAGATAGATAGACAGACAGACAGACAGACAGACAGATAGATAGATAGCTAGATAGATAGCTAGCTAGCTAGATAGACAGACAGACAGACAGATAGACAGACAGACAGACAGATAGATAGATATACAGAATTTGTGTGTGTCTATGCTATATAAGATTGTATATGTAATGTGTATATATATGTGTGTGTGTGTGTGTTTGTTTTTCTTCTATCTATCTGTTTATTTAGAAAGTGATTTGGGCAATTTGTTTCTGCTTTAGAAGCTGACGACCTCATTCCCTGAGTTCTTTGAGCAAGCTGAGGCCCGCTCTCTTGTCTAGTCTATTTCTGATGTGCGGTTTTTTTTGTTCGTCCCCTCGCCTTGGCACTGCTTGCGCAACTAGAGGACATGTTTGTTGTCGCCCATCTGTGCGCAAACTCTCCACTTGAAAAGCGTCTATTGTAGCGTAGTGCTAGGCACTCTGTGCTGTGAATTGCGAGAAAAAGTGTAACTCCTCAGGCTTCGGAATCATTGCCACATTCATCGTGAGGGACTAGGATAGGTTTTTGTAGCCTGACTGGCCTAACGCACGTCCATTCTTGGAAACTACATCTTTCGCATCCCGTCTCGGGCCTTGTAGAAGTGCAGTGAGAATGCGACTGCTTCCTGCAGAAGTTTCCAGCATGACATCAAAGCAAGGTGATTTGCAACTTGAAGTTCGCAACATGTGCTGAACTGTGCGCAAGGAGGTGGAAAGCTACACGGTGGTGGAAGCTACACGGTGGTGGCAACGGCAACGTTTGGAAAATAGTCAAGCCATTTCAAGGTCGCTTCAGTCCATGTAGAAAACACTTGAGATACTCAATTTCCAATGTGAAGTCTTCATCCTTTTCTTCCCCATCTTGACCATGGCACCTATGAAACTCACCACAAATGACGGAGCATTCCAGACCTGGAACCAGGACAGCAAATCTCTAGGAGAAACCAACCAGAACGGTGCCCAACCAGTTGAAATTCAAAGGCTGAAATCCCAAAATACTACCTTCAAATCTACAAGTTTTCGAATCAAAACCATCCTGCGCAGTTCTATTTTAGCTTATGTCACCCTTCTTGAACTGGAGTTCACGCAGCCGTTCAGCAAGAGGTCTGTCTTTGAGAAGACCTCAGAGGCCTCCCCCAATCACTTCAAATCAAACCGAATGTGGAGTCAAGCTTTCAGTGCTCTAGAAATTTCATCGTCTTCGGCCCTGGTCCAAACAGCACTGCTAGCTCCAACTAACTTTGTGTTGCTTCAATTTGTGCAACATTCTGGTTCCAGGACTTCTATTTAGACGCAAGTCACAAACCCGAGCCATACTTTGACGACGTGAATGGATCACCATGTTGCCAATACCGCACATGCCCTCCCTTTCAGCATGAAATGGCCTTTATACATCGATGGTATTGGCAGTTCTGAGGTCCCCTGCAATAGACGGAGCCTTTTGAACTAATGCACCTCTGCAAAGCCGAAACTCACCAGATCATACAGTAGCAAAAGGCACAATTCCTGACACATTCTGGCCACCCTCTTTTCTTTGGTTTTTTGGATGCGTTCTTACTCCTTGAAGCTGACCATATCTATTACGCCAGCTGTCTAGGAATCCCTGTGGTCGGACACCCAAACGCCCCAAAAGGTTCCTTTTCAAGTGGATCTAGCACACTGTTCTGGATATTCTATTTTGTGGTGAGTTGCAAATGTCATTTGATAGTACTTGATACTACTTGATAGTGGGTCCTAACCAAAAGTTGTAGTGAACAACGGTACATCCATGACGTGTCATACGCGTCCGCGACATCACAAGCCAGGATTGCAAAACATTTTTGGCAAAGTATAGATACGTATAGATTACGTATAGTATGTGCGTATATATGTTTTTTCTGTCAATATCCTGCCGTTATCTCTCCGCAAACTATCATAGCCCATGTAAAGAGTTGGATAATGGCACGGAATCATCACATGTTTTTTCGCCTGGAACAAAAAGTTGTTCATTTATGAATAAGTCTGTCCGAAAATTGAGTACAAGCATACTAAGTGTACCCCAAAATTGTTGTTTTAATGGCAAAACAAAGTTCGAAACCATGAGATTTTGGGGCACACGACTTTCAAACAAACCCATCTCCATTTCCAGCTTTCAAACTTACTCCTGCTGCTGGGTATCCCCATATTGACATCTCTTACCCCACCCGAGTTGGTCTCTTTATTCTCCGAAATCAAATCCAAAGTGGATTTTAGGTGGATCAGGTATCCTCAGACAAGCAAGGATCAATGAAATTACATTACTTTCTGTTAAACAAACGTTGAACCCAAGATGACTTTGAGATAAAAATCCTCCAAAAACATGGATGTAAAGCATTTAAAATACAAAATTGAAAAACTGGAGAAAGATCTGACTTCTTCTTCTCCCTGACTCCCAGACTCACAATGACTCTGCCATCCCTTGGGACCACCACTCACTAGATGCGCGTTTTGTCGGATCTCCGCCTTGGGATGCTGGACCATTGGACCATGAAATTGAGAGGTACCCAATTTTGACCCACCCAGACACCCAGAACATCTTTGTGGTTTGGGATGATCATCATTGAAAATGGCCCACTTTGTCTGGATGTGTTTAGTTCCGTTTGATGGTTTCGACCCACAAACGTGGAAACCTTGAAGCTTTCGGTTAGACCCCAGATTCTTGCAGGGATGGAAAGTACTGACCTATATACATCTCTACCCCCCAACCCTGGCTGATGTCAATGTAGCGTCTAGACCTGTTTCCCCCACCATTTCGGACGCGTACTGTAATTGAAACTCAAGCGGAAATAAAGTCAAGACTACCTCCACCACCAATGGGCATCGCCCGCTCGTTTTGGCAAACCATTTGTGTCCGCTTTGTGTCCTTTGCTGCAGATCGCCGCTTTGAAATTGGCAGTCGGCATCGTTAAGCCATGCGCACGTAGTGTGCCCAAGAGTTCAAAAAGGAGCGCAGCATGCAAACAAACTCAACTGCCGCAAATTCAACAGCCATTAATTGTGAATAGTTTCAGACAGTTTGAGCTAAACGCGCCTGACCGCTGGGACGTCTACAGAAGTCGGTTACGCAACCACCTCTGAAAAAATTGTTCCTTTCTTCTCTCTCTGTACCTTGTTACACACAACAACCATACAACCAAAAGCATAATCTTTGAAGTATCATCAAGTAGAACAAGTCATATTTTTTTCGATAAATTGCTAAATTGCTTAGGTTCACAAAAATCAGCTGCCGAAGATGGCATGTGCCATGTGCCACGCTCAGAGGGCCGCGAAGACCTCCTTTGCCGCCGCGATGGTCCTGTCGATGTCCTCCTCGGTGTGCGCCAAGGAGGTGAAGCCCGCCTCGTACTGCGAGGGTGCCAAGTAGATGCCCTGACAGCGGCTGGGCTTCCCAAGTTTCGGCTGAGTAGATATTGCAGATATGGCAGATATGGGTGTGTATGAAAATTGGATCATAATTTTTACCTAAGATTGGGAATTGTGGGGATGAGAGATATTCTCTTGGGAATTTTCAGGGTACGTTAGCATCCCCGATCTTACGACTATACAAAAGTGACACCCAGCCCATGGTTACCCCTGGATCTTTTTATATAAATCTCAGTGGCAAGCCCTGTTCAAGCCCCAAAGGCCAACAGCACGACAGAATCAAGGTTGCAGGGTACGGTCTTGCAAGCTGACAAGCAAGAAGCTGATTGATCTAAAATGTGTGTGTGTGTGTTCTGATTCTGTAGAAGTCATTTGGTTCAAGATGTGTTTTCCTGATTTAGTAGACCCCTTGCTTCGCTTCTCCCTTCCTCCCTCCTTGATTTTTCCTTTTTCATTTCCTTCTTCCCTCCGTCCTTCCTCCCTCCTGCCTTCCTTTCTTCCTTAAGTCCTGGTTTCTTCCTGCCTGTGGTAGTCGGTAGTCCCTTCCTGTTGCTACTCTGTTCGGGGCCGTTCCTCCCTGTTCAGGAGACAAGTCACGTACGACTTCAAAAGACAATGCTCACGCCTATCCCTCCGTGGGTGCCGCTTTAGTACATTCAAGTTCACATTCCATAGACATCCATGGTCTGCAAAATAAAAGCCTCTGACATTATGAACGCACAAACGCTAGTCATCTTATAGTTGGTCTTGGCAGGAGGATGGACACACGATCTATTAACTCACGTGTACATCATGGATTCTCATGCACGAAAGAAAATGCAAATCCATGGTTCGACTGGGGCAAAACATGTCATTTTTGAGAGGATCGCAGGGTGCACTTATATCATTACCTGCCTTTCTAGAAATTCCCCCAAAACCTATCAATTCCTTGAAAGCTGGTTGTTGGTTTTCTGGTGTTTCCTCGGCCATACTGGGCCATACTCCAAATGCAAACAGAGCCCCACCTTCTGCAGCATCATGCGATGCCACTTGGCAAACTTCTCAGTGTCACTCTTGGTGGCATCCGCGAAACAGGTCACAGGGCCCTCGCAGAAGAAGAAGCCGAACATGCCGCTGATGTGACCTCCGCAAACCTGTCATCATCTCATTCACTGGTCAATTTGTGCAGGTTACGACTCCATGTGTCAGCATGCTCACATTCCCAAGTCAGGGACAGTCAAGGCAGAACTACATGGCTTTTCAATGCAAAGTTTGCCCACCAAATCACGGCCGAGAACCCACCTGGTGGCCGTGCTCCTTGGCAGCATCCAAAATGCCGTTGATGAGTTTGCCGGTGATCTTGTCCAGGTACTCATAGCTTCCTGGCTCCTCGCAGGTCTGGCATCTGTCAGAGCTTGTGACTAGCCATCCGGAATCACGAAAAAAGATCTAGCTGAAACATGATGCAAACTGTTGCAAACCCCAACAATCTGTTGCACAAAAAACATCAACATCACATGTCACATGTTATATATATATATATTCGACAGCCGGATTCGTCCTTCAACCTCTTCAAGGTCTCAATGCCAGCCGTCATTGCCAGAGGGTTACCACTCAGCGTGCCTGCTTGGTACATGGGGCCTGCAGGTGCCACCATCTCCATGATGTCCTTGCGGCCCCCATAGGCGCCCACTGGCAGGCCACCACCAATGACCTTGCCTCAGCTTCAAAGAGGCCGAAACGAAGGGTTTCACTGAGGCTAAGAGCAGCAAAGGTAGGGTGCAGGAGCCAACCGCCCTCACATTGTTCTGGAAATAACGCTGTGGAAGAATGCTGGAAAACAAATATGGTGGAACACATTGTCGCAATCGCATTGAATGTTTATCCAGGATCAATTAATCAATCCCCCCTGTCCAACGAAAGAATCGCAAAGAAATCGGCCAACAATCAATTCAAGTACCTAGTAAGTGTACCTGATTTTTCCCTCCTCGCTCTGAACTTTGCCCCAAGGCACCCATGGTGGTCACATCGGGTGTCACCCCAAAATGCTCCTGGGCTCCTCCATAGGCGATGCGGAAGCCGGTCATGACTTCATCAAAGACCAACAGGGCACCGTACTTGGTGGTCAACTCCCTAAGACCAACCAGGAACTCCTTGGTGGGTGGGATGAAGCCGCTGTTGCCCACCACTGGCTCCAGGATCACGGCAGCCACCTCGTTGTTCTTCAGGAGCTCCTGATCGAAATTGGGAGGTGTAAATGGATGAAGATACCAATAGTAGAAATCCATAAGAATCTGAATGAATGAATGAATGAATGAGTGAGTGAGTGAATGAATGAATGAATGAATGAATGAAAGAAAAAATCTAGAGCCTAGAGAGAAGATTGACTCGTCATGTAGAGACCATTCCAATCTTAAGTACTACTGTAGAAGGTTTTTTCCGCAGGATTCCACAACTTATTTATGTGCCAGTCCTCCACGGATTCCAAGTTGTTGTACTCCGCGCACAGGGTGCTGGTGGTGGCGCCTTTTGGCACACCAGGAGAGTCTGGTAGGCCCAGGGTGGCAACACCGGAGCCAGCCTGCACCAGGAAGGCATCGCCATGGCCATGGTAGCAGCCTTCAAACTTCACCACCACATCGCGCTTGGTGAAGGCTCGCACCAATCGCAGCATGCCCATGCAGGCTTCCGTGCCGCTGTTGGTGAAGCGCACCATCTCCACTGAGGGGACGGCGTCGATGACCATCTTGGCCAGCTCGTTTTCCAGGGCACAAGGAGCACCGAAAGAGGTGCCCTTCTCCATCTGAGTGCTCAAGGCCTTCAGGACCTTGTCATCTGCATGGCCAATGATGGCAGGGCCCCAGGTGCCCACATAGTCAACGTACTGGTTGCCATCCACATCCCAAGCATAGGCACCCTTCACTCGGTCAAAGACCACGGGGTTGCCACCCACCGACTTGAAGGCTCGCACAGGGCTGGACACACCACCTGGCATCAAATCCTTGGCCTCGGTGAAGATCTCCTCAGACTTCAGGGTCTCGAAGCCACCACGGGCACCACCCCTCGCCTTCCTCTGAGTGCGGCTCTGGCGTTTGGTCGCTGCCGCCATGGCTCCCACGGCCGCAGAACCCAACACCACAGCGGCATTGGCTCCTGGTGCCTGGGCTGCCTGGGTTGGCTGTGCGGCACGCAGGTGACGTGCCACCTGGTTGCCCTCAGAGGCAGAGACAGATGGTGCGACGAAGGTCCAGGCAGCACATCCAGCTCCGATGGCGCAGAAAGTTGCAACCTCGGTCTTCATGGCGTCTGTACGAGAGCAACTGAACAAAAATTCTACGCCCGTTGTTCTTTGAACCATGGCGAGGACATCACCGATCCAAGGGGCAAGTGAAGCAGGGGGCCAATGGGACAAGCACCAATCACATACATATGTATTCATATATATATATTATGTATGTACACATACAGTCACATGGGGCATACATTATGTATAATATTGTATAATTATCTCTCTCTCTCGGCACTTAGATACCGAGGTGCACCAAAGCAATATGCTCAAGAAATCATCTAAAATGTGTCGAAAAACGCTGGTCGTCACCTGAACATAAGAACAAACGGGTCAAAAGGCACGCTCATCACGTGACATCTGCGGCAAATGTAAGGCCAGATCGAATTGAGGACACTTAGGGGGATTGCAGGGAATGTGAAAGGTAGAGGGGTATGTTTTGATTTCTTTCTTGGTTGGGAGTATGTCTCAGGATATGGCATCAACTCCCAGAGCGGAGTCTGTCCAGTGGTTCCTAACCCATGTGCTAATTCCTGTACATCTAGCAGAATGTGCATGGTAGGAACCACACTACTTGAAGTCTTCCGGCTGGTTTCCAATGACTGTTTGCCGTCTGGCGCAATGAAGCGGTTCGTCCCTTGTTGCTTTTGGTTTAGCAGTGGTGTCGTTGCGCAGGCGCCCAAGGTTGGGATTTTTTGTGGCGGTGTCATGCTGCTACTTGCTGCCACTTGCTGCCACTTTCTGCTTTCCTTCTTTACTTCCTCGCTTACTTCCTTCCAAGCTGTTGGCTCTTTAATTTTTGAATCATTTACAACTTTAGTAGGAGAGCATTGGTTTAGACACTCAGAAAATCGACACTTGATTCTTCTGGCTGTGCTGCAAACCATCAGCAAATTGTCCTGGCAACCATTAAACTCCTAAAAGAATGACGTTCAACACCAACTCTCGCGCTACGGCCCGGACAGCCGTAGAAGCTCACATGACCTGCTTCATCCATTGCATCAAGTGGCGGGTCGCAACCACACTAACGTTATAAGCACAATCCCACGCTTTTGAACCATTCAAAATCTTACTTACCATTTGGCATGTTTTAAACCTCTTTGAAGTAAAAAATATATATAACAATAATTATTATTATAGCAAGAAGAAGAAGAAAAAGAATAAGGCAATTAATACTAATATATATATATAATTATATATACAGTATCCATATATATATACATATATGCTGTTATTGTCTCCACAGTAAAACACCAAGCCACCACAGATTTCTCCAACTCTGTCCACCAAAATCTCGCCTCTGAGCTGCAGTCACATCCCAATGCTGTTCACGCCCTGATGTCTAGAATAAACATCAATGACACAGCCACACGTTCCAAAACAAATTCTTGAAAGCATCAATGAACTCTCTCAATTTCGATACATATTAATATTAACTGTTGTTACATACCCCTGCGATACTCGCCATGTGTTTGGATTCAGGTTGTGAAGCCTCTTGGAAGACTCTGAAGTCAAACACAAAATCACATCAAATCACTGAACCAAACTGCAGCATGCAGCGCAGCAAGCAGGCCAAGTTTTCGGAAAATGTGAATGGCGACTCAACTTGCTAATCCGGGCTCCACAAGCACGGCACAAGCACCCCAAAGCCTCAGAGCCCCAGAGCTTCCGTTTTCTTCAGGCTGAGTTTCAGTCTTGAAAGATTCGACTTGGTGAGAAGCAAACGTAAAGGCAGCCAGGGGCACCGCCCAAGGGGCACCCCAGCAATAGCAAGCCCCTTCAAACAAACAACAATGGCAGCCTCTTGCCATGACGTCAGAAATCGACCCAATCATCTGGCTTTTGTCAGAATCGCAGGCTCAGGATCTCCACAAATGCCGCCAGACATCTTGGCAACCTGCACAGATCACCATATGGGTATGGGTCACAATAATTGGATGGATACTGAACATGGACTCAGGTCTTTAATTTTGACCCATACCCATATGTACTTTCATTTAACTTGAATCCCTACAGCACAAGGAAAGTCCAAACAAAAGAGTCTTAGCTTTCTTGTGGACTCTGAATCGACCAAACCCAACATGCCCACCTCGTCACTTGTGCCTTCCAGCCGCGCAAGTTTATCGGGTGCTTCCTCGGGTCCCTGCAGAGCAGTTGGGCTCGATGAAAAAATGGCTGATGAAAAACCCTTGCAGCCATAAGAAGAAATGATGTGAGACGGTACCATCTCAGTCCTGGATCAAGAATCGGATGGAAATTGCAGACTCTTTGGTCTCCTCACTCTCTCCAGCAGCCTTGACGAAATTCCAACTAGCAAGTTTCTGGGGTTCCACGAGGGAAGGGTGTTTCAACAGTTCAGGAATCAAGAATCCTAGAATTGGTGATTTAGGGCTGAATTTTACAGGAAACTGCCCAAGACCTATGGTTTCCTCTCATGTTTGCCATCTATTGGGTTAGCCACCGAAGCCAAGGAACACCTGAGGTTTTCTTCTTCACCGAACTCGACGTAAAGGTCACAACATTTCCAGACTTCGTGAAGGTGCCACACCTCCACTGAACATCCACAACACGTCACGAAGAACAGGTGACCCTACAAATATAATATTTTATGTCTATCTATCTATCTATCTATCTATCCATCCATCCATCCATCTATCCATCCATCCATCCATGTATCCATGTATCTATGTATCTATGTATCTATGTATCTATGTATCTAGGTATCTATGTATATATGTATCTATGTATCTATGTATCTATGTATCTATGTATCTATGTATCTATGTATGTATCTATCTATGTATGTATCTATGTATGTATCTATGTATGTTTCTATGTATGTATCTATGTATGTTTCTATGTATGTATCTATGTATGTAGGCAGGCTAGGTAGGTAGGTAGGTAGGTAGGTAGGTAGGTAGGTAGGTTCGTAGGTAGGTAGGTATCTATGTATCTATGTATCTATGTATCTATGTATCTATGTATCTATGTATCTATGTATGTGCATGTATGTGCATGTATGCTATGTATGTGCTGCATGTGTGCATGTATGTGCATGTATGTGCATGTATGTGCATGTATGTGCATGTATGTGCATGTATGTGCATGTATGTGCATGTATGTGCATGTATGTGCATGTATGTGCATGTATGTGCATGTATGTGTATATGTACATGTAACTGTATATGTGTATGTGTATGTGTACGTATACGTATATGTATATGCACATGTATATGTCTATGTGTATGTGTGTGTGTGTGTCGGTATGTAGGTATGTCGGTATGTAGGTATGTAGGTATGTAGGTATGTAGCTAGGTATGTAAGTATGTAGGTAATTAGGTGTGTATGTTTCCATGTTTCTATGTTCCTATGTTCCTATGTCTCTGTGTCTCTATGTTTTTATCTATCTGTCTTTATCTATCTATCTATCTATCTATCTAATTATCTATCTATCTATCTATCCATCCATCCGTGCATCAATCTATATATCTATTTATGCATGTATGTAGGCAGGCAGGCAGGCAGGTAGGTAGGTAGGTATGTGTGAATTTAAAACTGCATGTATGTGTATGTATATGTAAATGTACATGTACATGTATATGTATATGTATATGTATATGCATATGCATATGTATATGTGTGTGTAGCTATGTAGGTATGTAGGTATGTAGGTATGTAGGTATGTAGATATGTAGGTATGTAGGTATGTAGGGATGTAGGTACGTAGGTGTGTAGGTGTGTATCTTTCTCTGTTTCTTTGTCTCTATGTCTCTATGTTTCTACCTACCTGTCTATCTATCTATCTATGCATCTATCTATCTATCTATCTTTCTATCTATCTATCTATCTGCCTGCCTGTCAATCTATCTATCTGTCTATCTATCTATCTATGCATGCATGCATATACCTATTTAGAGCATGTGGATTTTTACACATTTGTACATCGATAAAATAAATAAATAGATGTACAATTATCAACAACTGAAGCTAGGCCCTGATTTCGAATGATCATAGATCTGAAACATCTCCAACTCACCTGTTGCACGCACAATGGCACAGAACCATTTCAGAACCACTGCCGAAAGCAAGCCTGTCGGTTGAAACCTGGGGACTGTCGCGAAAGTCCACGTTGCTTTCATAGACCTGTGAGGTTCAGCGCACCAACAACAGTTTCAATTCAAGAAACGAGGCCTAGCCCGCATGCATACATACATAACAAACATAACAAAACATAACATTACAAAACATTACATTACATACCATACCATACCATACCATACCATACCTTATTGCTTTCCACTCGCACAATGCAGGCATGACGAGAGGACAGTCATTCTTTTTAGCACGATGGGGCAGTCACTCGCCATCAACGGCTGGGTTAGGCAGCTTGTGCCGGATCCCAGCAACACGAAAAATATTGAGACACCGAGGACATTGTCTCACTGCCAATCCAAGTCAATGCCAGGTACATGTCCATGGTGACGAGTAAGGTGGGAGAGCTCTCTCTGAAAACGGGTCAAACACTGGGGCTTCCACACTTGCAGAAAGAAAATGCACTGGCGGAGCCAGTGAACGGAATTGGCCAAAGCAGAGATGTTCGGTGCCTGTCCCCCTTCAAACTGATCTTCAAGCTCTTGCGATTCGTAGAGGGTATCCTGGGCTATGGTCACATGCCGGTCAGCCAGAAAAGCAAGCACGAGAAGCTCTTGGAGAGACATGGATCGGCGTGGGACAAGGGCCATGGCCAAGTGTCAAACAAAGTTGGTCTGTGAAAGATGGCTGATGAACATCTTGGTTAACATAGAAAAATTATGGACAAAATGAAAAGAGGTTGTGGGGGGGTGGGGATCGATTTTTTTTCCTGAGCCCAGCTACAGCAATCAAGTAATGATCTGACCCTGATCATGAGTTGTGACAACTGAGCACTTCAGTTTCTTCAATCGTTAGCAATAAGAATTATCCTTACAGGAGAATGTCCTTATTGCTTTCCAGCTCGCACAACTCATGCATGACGAGAGGACACTCACTCTTTTTAGCACGATGGGGAAGTGCTTCGCCATCCCACATTCTTTGGAGTTGACACATCGTCAAACATCATCGGTCACATCGACACTTGTCCACACTTCATTTTGGTGAAGTCTCACATGGTTCCGGACAGCTATGCTTTTGGATTAACAGCTCGTCCAAAGCACTGTCAACATCAAGATCTAATCGTAGATCGTTGTTGAAACCAACAAGGACTCCACGGGACAGAGGGTCGGCGATGTTTGCTGCAGAGGGCACCCTCTCATCTGACCATCCACAGCCCTAGGCCACGTTTGCCAGAGATGACTCGCCCAAGCGCCCGATCGTTATCAAGAAAGAGGACAACTCTATCGTTGGCACAAACAGCTGCAGCATGCAGCAGGAGAGTGCCCCCAAGTAAAGCCGCCAGGGCCTCAAGCTCGAAAATGATGGTTTCTTTCTTGCAGGGGTTCAGTCTGTCTGCCTGAGCCTTCAAGACCGTGGCAGAGAAGAATGATAACATCACCCCGTGCTCATTGAAGAGAACACACCGGAGTCTTCATAGCAGGCATCCGTGTAGAGGTGGAAGATGCGGCCAAGGTTTGCATCCACCACTCTCAGTCCTCCACGAACCACTCTATCTCAGACAAACTCGAGGCTGTGTCTCAACTCTCCATCCATCCACTGGCGCATCTCCAATAGCATGTTCCCACCTGGCAAGGCAACCTCTCACGGCCCCACATCCTGTCTCTAAGAACCAGAGTAGCTAGGATGGCATCGACACCCATTGTTCCGAGCAGGCATTCGTTGAGTTGACCAAGATCTCGGAAAAGTCATCAATGGGTCCCACCTTTGCAACACGCTGGCCGTCAAATAGACGGAAAAACGCCCACACCTGGCCCAGGCCTGACACAGATTTCCGACTCTGAAACGAATGATGCCAGTTCGAGTTCAAGAGACCTGATCAAAATATGAGTGTCATGTTTTAAGGTCAGAACAATGCAGGGGACGACGCGGCACCGAGAAAAACACGTGTACTAGTGTACTGGAGCCAAACCAGGATGACACACACAACCAAACCCAGCAAACATCTTGCAACGGGTTGCAAACATCTTGCGATGGTCGTGTCAATTCGGCACTGCATCCTTCCCCCCCGACGGTTTCCCTTTTTTTTGGCTCTTGCAGGAGAATACTCCAGCTGTGACGATTGAAAGACTCCAGCTGTGAGCACTTCTATGTTGAAACCACAGTCATCAAAAACTGAAGGAACTGGCAGTTCACCACGTCAACAGCTATCACGGCACTGATTGCATGGGGGTGGCTAATGCACCGGTCTTGCATTCACCAATGCACTGGTCTTGAGTCGCCAAGCCCCCCTTCTGTACCAGGATCAAGACCACGACACAGCAATCAAGTAAAGATCCGAATCTGAACATGAGTTGTGACAACTGAGCACTTCAGTTTCTTCAATCGTTAGCATTAAATAATTATCCTTACAGGAGAACGTCCAAAACATAACATAACATAAAATAAAATGACATATCAAGAAATTGCATTGCATTACATTTACACTACATATACATTACAGTTACATTACATTTACATTACAATTACATTGCATTTACATTACATTTACATTACATTTACATTACATTTACATTACATTTACATTACATTTTCATTACATTTACATTACATTTACATTACATTTACATTACATTACATGTTCATTACATTTACATTACATTTACATTACATTTACATTACACTTACATTACATTTACATTACATTTACATTACATTTACATTACATTACATTACATTCATACATATTATGTACATGTATATATATATATATATGTATGTAAATACATGTATATATATATATGTATGTAAATATATTGCAAATGTATATACATAATTATATATGTAAATATGCATAGCCTGCTGCTACCAAACATTGTCGCACACATCCACAAGCAACCGTGAAATTCAGGATGTTTGTGGAAAAATAATTTCATGGAACACCATTCTAAATCACACGAGGAAAACCAACTCACAGCACAACAACATCAAACTATTGCCATGAAATTGCGTCAATACCAAAAATGATTCGCTTAAGTTAGTTGAGCATTTTGCGTCCGAATTCGTCATTTTTGTCCTTTGGTTGCGTCGAAAAATAATTATGTGATGTTTGGCTCTCTCTAGGCTTTTAGCCACCCGCAAGAATCGGCTCACACACACAGTTTCCAACCTTCCCACTGCCGTCAGCTTCAATTTGCACAGTAATCCTTAGCAGGACAATATCCTGCAGCCCGCATTTCCACACGTCCGATCTTGCTGGTTTTGAAAAAAATCAATGGCAGGAGATCCCTCATGCAAAAGTGTACAACAACTATCACAGATTTACGGTGGAAGCAAACCACAATTACCAGCATAAGTTCCGAAAAACACTGTTGCGGGGTTTCTGACCCTCCTTGTCGCATCGCAGCAAAGCCCGGCCCCAAGTTTGCGAAACCAGTTCCCAACGGCTGATTTTTTGGACAGGAACAGCACGGAACAGGGACCAAAAACACAACATGTTGTCTGTTCATCATCATTATTTATTGATATGATTACCACCGGAAAATGCCCCAAAACATCGGCGGCGCATCAACCGCAGACCAGGAGCGAATAGCTTCCCCAATCTCCATCCGAAGCGGACGCCCGGAATTTTCCTTCATCTTGCTGACTCTTTTAACAAACTGTGTCTGACTGCCAAACCAGCTGAAAGAGTTTCAAAGTTCTGCCTAAGAATCAGGAAAGCTTAAGTTTTTTTGACATCATGACACCCTTTGTTTCTCCAATCACAAAGAGTCCCTGCCTGCAAGCGCAGAGAGATCACGGGCGGTTGAAACCTCCAGATTTGACAGATCGCATCCATCGGCATGTTTCACTATGGCTATGAGGAAAATTCTGGAAAATCGAATCCACAAAATCCAAATTGTCACTATGAACAATTCAATACAATTCAATGTTTAGAATGACTCTACAGTGACTCTACCAAAACTCTGGTGCCAGAACTGATCAGAACTGCCATGAGACGTTGCAACGCCAAACAATCGGACATCCAAAAATTTCCGACTATGATGTAAGGCATGCCATGAAACGATACCACATTATGATCATTATGTGGTGTTCCGTGGCGATGCCTGGTTTTTTTTTGCTCTATGATTTTTTGCAAATTTGTGGTGTTTTTTTTGCAATTACACTGCCTCAGACTTTGCCGGCGAACACGGGCATAGACCACATAGATCCATGGCTTCAGTGGCTTCAGTTGGCAAGGAATTGATGATTGGACAAGTCATGTAACACGTATAGCGCATAAGGCACGATGTGGCACGATGTGGCACGATGTGGCACGATGTGGCACGATGTGGCACGATGTGGCGTATGTCCCTAGGCAGAACCCCACGAACTGCAAACGACATTGGTCGAAGAATCCAACAATGCACCGCAACACTGCAACCAGTGCAGCATCAAAAAAAAATGCAGTATTCAAAAAACAACATTCAACATACCATGATTTGCGCCATTAAGTTCTGGTGTAATTCAAAAATTAAAAATTGACCTATTTTGTTCAAATACATTGGAAAACATTCAAGCATTTGATCCAATTTTGTTGAACCTGAAGTAATACCCACGAAGATGTCCAAGCCTCCGGTCGGGTTGTTGCCATTTTTGTTTCCCCACTGTTTTCGGCATTTATTGTGTAAATAAAATGTTTTCATCGTAGATCGATGATGAATGCTGTGGAAACCCAAGAATTTGTTGCCTCTTCGTGTGTTGCACTGTCCACGCCTTGATGTCTAGAATAATTATATAACCCTACAAAATCGTTTGGTGGCATTCAGTTTGCCAACTAGAACCGGCATTTATCATGCCAAGTTGCGGGCAATTCATGTCCATAACCCATCCGGTGTTTGCATGTTCCATGCGTTCAACCGTCACCGTGAAACTACGACATAATTGCCCTGATTTTGAAATTCATATGCACCGCATGCAGCAACACTTGTCCGAACCCGTTGTTTTTTTCGCAGTATCCATGCAAAACAATTGAAATAAATTGTGTTGGAAAAGCGTTTACAAAGCGATCAACCCGGAACACTCTCATGCTGTTGGGTGGCAAGGGAACGCACAAACAGTTGCACGGTTTTTCCTTCTTGCTGAATGGATCACTCAGTAATGACATGTCAATCCGTACCTGTATGGTTCCATGTGTTCATTTCCACCTGACATATTTGGTTAAGAAAAATTGGGAAGGCACCGAAAGCGTCCCCATGTTTTCTGTGAGCCACCAAATTTTCGAATACGAACAACCTTTTTTATCGATGTTTTTGGGTTTGGTCCCAAAAGATTTTGAATAGTCAATTGAATAGTCGCCGTCCTGGAAATATTGTATCAAATCGATCAGAAATAATACATCATTGCTATTTTCCTCGCTCACAAAAACGCCTCGGATTCATCGCGCAAGCAATTGAATGCATGTCACATGACTGACACCTGAAAGTGAAATTGCGTGACATGCAACTGCATGAACACTGGAAATTGTAAAGTCCAGTTCACGCAATGGTTTCCGTTGCTTCAGTTTCCCAAATCTATTATAGTACAGTTGACATCCAACACAAGACAAAGGCTGCCGCACGAGCGCATATTATTTTTAGGCGTGGTGCAGAGTTTGGGTCAGATCTGTACACAT